ACTCAACGAACCGTTGCGTACGAAGGAGGAAACGTCGTTGTTAATGGCTCCACACAGCCGTTCCCACGTGACCTTGCGCTGCGCACGATGGTAATGTCTTGCGCAAGTCGACGTTCTCGTGTTGACGTTTGCATAGGCGCGTCCCTTTCGTTTGCCCTTCGTGGAAGGCTTCGAGCGGAAATGTTTATCCTCCGTACCGCGGACGATATTTTTACGGGCTACGTGCTAGACTGCTCGCTCTTCAGAAAGGCAGAGATGTGCCCTTGCGCGGTCGGTGCGTGACTGCGCTTCGTTTGACCGTAACTTGGCAAAGAGCGAGCGCTGCGGCTCCTTCGAGCCAATCAGAGAGGCGAAGGCAAAGCGCGTGACAGTACTCGCCAAAGGTAGGGGGCCAGCGCGTAACCCAAGCGTTTGGAGAAGAGGGTAAGGGAGAAGTTCGCTACGGCATGGACCCTCTCTTGTTTGTGCCCCTCAAAGATATTAACCCGTCACTCAAAATTCGTACAAAAGCGGCTTTTTTTTTTCTTTCTTTCTCCCGCCCGTGGTTCTGACAGCACTGCGCGCCACTAGTGAGATGATGTATGGTCGAGGGTCTCCCTCCGGCGCGCTGATTGGCTCACTGTGTGGGACGGTGGCCTTCGCCGTCGTTTGCCAAGTTAAGTGGAGACAGGGTATAGGTGCATCTGTATGGAATATATTCAGCCGTTTTGCGCACTTGCAGCATGACCTGCAATTTCGATGAATCTACGAAACGCAATTTCGCCGGGTATTCGGTCTTGCGACAAGATGTACAAGACCTTTAATCCCTCGTCTCTGCGTCTACATTGATATCTGCGTTCAAGGCGAAAGCACACAAGGTCATGGCGAAATAACGTCGCTAAATATAGAACCACAATAAAGAGGCCCTTCATATGGTGCAAACCTATAACGAGAAAAAGAAAAAGCTTAGATACTCATTAGATAGCGTAGGAGGGGGAAAGGGCGAAAAAATATTAATGAAGAAACAGTCGAACATTTGTTCGATACCGTGCCATAGAAGTGCCCTAACACCACGTACGCGCCTTGAAAGGAGTCACGTTCACTACTCACAAACTGTCCCTGCTTATTTCGCGGTTTATTTACGCCGATATATTTGAGTAGGACTGGCAGTCATTAGAGCTAGTTGAATCCTCATTTATTGCCCTCTGTTATAGAACCGTATTTGCTCTTCCGCGACTTTGCTTAATCAAGATACTCCGATGAGAACGGGTCACATCGGAAGTCTATGTGCTACTTTAGCGGCTGTTTACGTCACGCACAGTATGTCACGGACCCGATGATGTTAGTTCCTTACGCATCTACATCGATCGCAATTTTTTTTTTTATGTAAAGGAGAGTTCACATAGACAGGTTGAGCATGAATGAAAAAAATTAAGTGCTTGTAAGTATAGACGCCTAATGCATTTGTTTGGACGCAAACTCTTGTGAACAAACCGCCATAAATGGAAATCTCATGAAGTTATCCCTTCCAAAAAAAAATTTCAGGCCGTCTATAGAAATCACGATAGAAATCCTCTCCACATTTCAACGACGTTTTCGAGTTCTTATACATTCACGTCGTATAAACATTTTTCAATAGACTTTCTATGAGCTTTCTTTCAAGCGTAATCTATAGCGTGCAGATGTTAGAAATGTTATAGAAATTTTATCACTCGTCTCAACCGACTTTCTGTCACCATATTGCTATAGAATCTCTATAGGCTAGAATCGATAGAACAATAAAATGCAGTGGGGAGAAGCGACATCACTCCCAGTTGGAGCGTCCCTACGGAGGCTGGTTTCTTCGACTATGTCAAATAATTATCGCCTCTTTGCCATGCTTCACAGTTAGAGATGCAGTTCACCAACCCTGACAACCACATTTCGTATAAATATGGGCCAAAAAAAAAAGCAAGATACTTGTAACACTACTGAATTACTAGTGTTATGAATGCTCCGTCGCGTGTGTACCTGAAATGTCTGCGTATGTGCACACGGCAAGTGGCGAGTGCTTGCTTCCGTGGATGTATCGTGAGAAACCTAAAATCAATATCCAAAATTTATGGCTCGCAAAAAACGGAGCTATCGTCGTTAGAACGGGGATAGAGTCGTTGTTAAAAATCCCTATGTTTTTTTCTATACAATATCTATTCACTCACTCTCTATACACTAAGGTCTATTGAAAGTCTACAGAAAAAAGCTGTAGAAAGCCATAGCGGCCAAAGAGCTATAGACTGGAGATGGAAAAGTGGATACATTTTCAGTGGAATATCTATAGCCTCTAAACACTCTTTTCTATATAAAGTCTGTAGAAACTGGATACATGTATTTGGAAGGGATTACAGCTTTCGAGTTCACCAATGGTAACATATTTGTGAGCCTGTCATTGGGAATAGCGTTACAGATTTCCAGCATTAATGTACCGCACGTTGATGTCTGGTCGCAGTTGGTCGTGGTGGCCACGATCACCTCTTTAACCACAAGGCTGCTTCTTGAAAACATACGAAACACGCGTTCATTAATTATTTCATTAGTTGATGCAGGGATCGGGCGAAATGTTTGTTCCACTCCTACACAAATTATTTACAGGCGGAAGAGGATTCGATCGGCTGCCTTGAGGTCTACCCACTATCCTTCAATCAGGGCCAATTGGAGCTCGGCATTCTGGCGTCACCATAACCCCTGTCAAAAAAGCAGACGAACTTGCGCTCCCCACAGAATCGCACTCATTGTAAGACGCTGCAAGATGCTCTGGCTCCAACGCGGATTCCAGCTAGGTGGCGTTTCCGTGAATCCACTAGTGATAACGTTATGGGAGGAAAGACGCAGGCTTTCTCTTCTAAGCGATGTTGCTAACGCGGGCTGCCCCACGTCTTGCCACGAAACGTGCGCTTGCGAACGTTTGATAACTACCGGATGCGTGGCCGCAGCGTTCCATTCGGTCGTGTAGTTTAGTGTTCACGTTTGGCGTGCCACATTTAGCCTGGCTGTGTGCACATTGCTCGAAGCTTAGTAGGTAGCGCAATTACAAGCGGGGCATCTGATCGTCGCTATGTCTCTGCTCGTCTGGGCAACCACGTACATACAATCTTCCGTCAAATTACGCAAGCACCAAGGAGTATGCTGAGTACGTAGGTACACGCGCTGCTCGCGTTGACCTTATCTGTATAAAAAGATTGATTCGAAGTAAAGGGACAAAATAACCAAGACGCACGTGCACAGTGTAACTTAGATTTTTTTTGCATTAAAAGAGTTACTGCGTGCAGACGTCTGCACCCGCAGCTCGTGTGACTGTACATTCGTAGCGCGTTCTTTTATGCTTGAGAATCAAGAAAACAGTCTATAGACCTATTGTTAAATTACCGCAGCATCGGGGAATATACTTAGAATTGAAAGAATTAAAATACGAAGGACTTTTACGGACAACAAAACAACACCCCACTTGCACAGAAAGCCAGAAAACAGTGTGGTTGTCTGTGAAAGTCCTTCGAGTTTTTATTCGTTCTATTTTAAGTATTCATAATCACAACACGTTTGCCTTAACCAATCAAGGAGAATGCTGGGAATGTAGGTCAACGCGCCGAAGGCGCTCGCCTTCGCCGTATAAAAGATTCGAAGTGAATAATCACAATAAAGCTTCCACGAACGCCCGTGCACGATGCCATTTGTTTTCGGCTTTTGCTTTAGGACAGTTACTGAGGCGGACGTCAGCGCGTGCTGCTTGCTCGCATAGGAGAACAGCCGAGATGCCATGCGTGCACGTGTGTACATTAGAGCTAACCAAAAGTCCTAACCCATTTTTGGATAAATATGAACGTTTGAGAAACCATTTCGAAAACAGCGGATCCCTCCCACACGAGAAAAATCCGTGCACTTTGTTGCTCGAGTAACAAAACATAAGACAGTTGAAGAGTAAGATCCAATGTATATATGGTGAAACAAGTTACATTACACTCTCGACAATATAACTTGTACATTAATACAATCCAACACAACGGTTATATTCTTACACGGGTATTCACGAAGTTTAGTAAGTGCATCGTAAATGAAACTACTGAGCAATTAGGATCATTAGCGGCATGGAGTTCTGTAGAGCGGACCGCCTTCACCGTTTCATCTTATAGAAGACAAACACTACGCGTACGATAATAAAAAAAAAATGCATGTCCTTTACCCCTTACAACCTAGTCCTATTTCAGCCACAAAGTCGAGAGGCGATACCGACCAACCTCAAGCCCGTGCAGCATGAACGCGAAGGTATCTTTGGCATACGTGCAATCACTCCTGCTCACTTCACGAGCAGCGAGAGACCGCAAGCCTGCCAAAGATACCTTGGCAGGCATGCTATACATGCTTGAGGTTGGGCGCTATCGGCTATCGCTGTTTGTCGCTCGGGTGGGACCAGGGAAGTATGGATAACATGTTCGAAGCCGGCCACGCGCCTTTGATGTTCGCCATTTTCCGGCAGCTTTATTAGTGGCCAACGCCTTTATCGCCTCAAAAAGAAAAAAAATATTCCGCGTGAAGAATGTACGTGCGGTATTTGATAGATGTTTTTGGCAACGTGCTTTGTTTGCTTTGCTCGGTCGAGAAAGTTTTCAGACTTCGAGGCTTCGTTAAATAGACGCTACTTGAAGTGATTCAAGGACACGCACGAAGCACTCCAACGAACGTGCCAGTATTTGCGTCGGTAAATAGTGGCGCATATGTTTTAGAGAAAAAAACGACAATTGATAGCCCTTGTGTCTACTAAAATAGTTTCCGACAAACGAGACTTGCTTTGAAAACAGATATCACGGCGACTTTTTTTGTATATTTTAAACTTTTTGGGCAGTGGGAGTTTTGACGATCTTGGGACGATCAAGGAAGTATTAAATATACCCGCGCTTTTATATTTCAGGCGTTCGGCGACATGCTGTATTGGTCGTTCAGAGAGCTTCGGAAACACCCGTGCCCTGCGTTGCAGAACAGTTACAGCATCAGCGTCACCAGCAATTAACTTGGTACTGAGTTGAATCTCCGTCAGGTGAGTTACGTTCCTTATACTTCGCTCACCTGCCTTTCCACCCAAGTTTTTGTGTGCATGCATGCCTTTCTATGGGGGTACAATATCTAGTTCCCGCCTTTTCTTTTTTGCCAATTTACGAAAATTGTTTTACAAGTGTGATTTTCACTATTTCTCTCTCAGGCTGCATTCACACTGGCGTTCAAACCGAAACCGCGAAGCGGATTCGCTCGTTTTCATCATGAATTGCGCCTGAATTTGGATTGCATCCTTACGCAACCGCGTTTGCAGCCGCTTTGCGGACGCGGTTCAGTCGCCAGTGTGGATGCAGCGTTATACCTTATCAAAGCGCACCTTATTCTGCCTCTGTAAGGTACGCTAAATTAACCCAGCGGAGTCATTTGCGGTGAAAGCGTCAAGAGAAAAATGTAAGTTTTGAATAAGCTTGTAACGACGCGTTGGACATTTATAAAATCACGTAGCTTATTTAAGGGGGCCCAAGAAGAGTGATAAAGAATCCACGAACGAAACTTTAGGGCGCAAACGAGTTCGTGAAATTTTAACACACTTTAAGACAAACCCCCGAGACTGGGGAAAAGACAAAGGATAACACAACACACAGAGTCTCCGAGTGTTGAGACTCTGAGTTCCATTGTCCTTCGTGTTTTCCCCAGTCTCTGGGGGAAAATTATATAAATGATTAATTCGTTTATCAAGTCTGGTTAATGGGCTAGTTGGTGCGTACTGTTCAGAAATTTGTAAGCGAAAACCGAGACGAGCAAGAATAAGGGGGCACGGCCAATCGCTTGTCCATGCCCACTTCTTTCTGTGTGCCCCGGTTTACGCTTTCAAGTTACCTGCGATACCTTAGTGGCTTGGAAGCGAAGCCTAATGGAGAACAGACGCATTTAGCTAGACGCTACCTCTATTTGTACTTGTTGTTTCTTGTAAGTGCCTGATGCTTTCTTGGGGAAATTCCTCTTACTGAGCCGGTTATAGATTTATTAAATACATATGAACTGCATGTTAAACAAGTTATGTCCAGTGCATTTACTTCATAAGTTTTGATTTTCGGTTTCAGGTAGAGTAAATGCCATCTGCGGACCAATGCCGCGGGTGGCTTTGCTTCCAGCCTTGCTCTGGGTCCTGACCTCATGGGCGCTGGACGTGACGACGGCATGGCGCGTGAGAGAGGCTCACTCGCACAGCAAGACACGCAACCTCGACTCGGTGTACATGAACCCACAGTCATCGGTGGCGCTAAGGGTTGGCGCTGCAGGCACTCTCCTCTCCAGCTGGATCCTGAACGACTGCAACATCCAGCACTTCAGCGACGGCGGTCTTCTAGTCACAGGGCACAAGTGCGAGGACATCCCGATCGTGAACATGACGTCCTGGCCCGTCCCGGCCACGGAAATCGCGCTGTACCACACATCCGTCACTTCCCTCCAGCCGAACGCATACCATGCCTACGGTCCCATCAGCCAAGTCACCAAGCTTGAGATCATCCAAAACAAGATTTACGCCATCAAACCGCACGCTTTCAACGGCTTCCCGAACGTGACTTTCCTCAGTCTCAGCGACAACCCGATCAAGTTTCTCTCTTCGGAATCGTTCAGGGGACTGAACAGTCTCAAGGTTCTGGTGCTGTTTCGTACTCGACTCCACGAGTTCTCAACGGTCATCGCGTCCGTTAACCCGGCGGTGCTTCCGAAGCTTGAAATACTGAACCTCGGAAACACCGCTCTGCATCGGATTGACGAACACGACCTTGTCCCGATGGAAAACTCGTCGCTCAAGCACATCCAGTTTCACCTCTGCGACAACCTCGCTTACATTCATCCCCAGGCTCTGAAACCCTTGAAGCATCTGGAAGGATTTTACCTCAGGGACAACCTAAACATGAAGGTGGAGAACATAATCGACGTCATCTCTAACATCACCCAGGAAACGTTCAGAATAATTGATGTGAGTCAGCCGGTCTACAAAGCTGTGCCGTACCGCATACTTGAATCGGTAGCTCGAACCGCTGCCGAAGTCATAATCTTCATTCGCATGACAGACTACACCGTGACCAAAGACAGCTTTCCGCCGATGAACAGAGTCAAGTGCCTTGTGTTGGAGTCCGGCAAAATAAGGGAGTTCAAAGCTAACGCGCTTCAGAACCTTCCTAACCTCGAAGAAGTCAGCTTCAGGAGGAACTTATTCCTGGGTGTGCCGCCGGGACTTCTGGCGCCGCGAATTAAGTTCCTCGATCTAAGCGGTTACGACAGGGGATTTGTGCAGCTGGACCTACCGGATTATGTGTTCTCAAAAATGGTGAACCTTCGCGAGATGTACCTTCGCTACAAAGCTTTGCCTTCGCTCACTGAATTTACCTTCTGGGGTCTTAAAAATTTGGAGACTCTAGATATGAAGCAATGCTCCATCGATTCTTTGCCGCAGGGCGTGTTTCACCACCTCACTAACTTAAAGCACCTAGATCTCAGCGATAACCCTGTCTTCAGGATTGGTTCTACGTTTAGTCCCCACATCTTTCAGGGCATGACCAACTTAAACAGTCTCATTCTATCAAACACAAAAATTTCAGATATGGCAAAGGCTGTGTCTTTCAGCGATCTGACGAGTTTAGAGTATTTGGACGTTTCAAACAATAGCATTGTAACCGTGCCCAAGGAAGTGTTCATATCAGGTGTTAACCTCAAGCACCTTGATCTCAGCAGAAACATAATTGACCGCTGGTCGCCGCTGCCATCCTCATTGATGAATCTCCAAATCCTAGACCTATCGTCGAACAGGCTTCGACACTTTCGTACTGATGTCATTAATGGCTTTAACAGACTACGTACCTTAGATGTTTCGAAGAATCCGTTTGCCTGCACCTGTGGTATTACTCCCTTTCTCGAATGGACCAAAACGAGTAACGTTACCTTGATCAATCTCGCTTACGAAGAGCTTCATTCGTGCTCCGAGCCAAGGGATATGGCAGGAAGACACATCCGTTCGGTACTGCCACACCTTCAGAAAATCTGTAAGCCGACCATTTTGATAAGCATTATGTGCGTCGCCATCCTTGTGCTAGTCTTCGTCATTCTCCTTGTCAGTGGCTATATCTACCGGCGTCGTTTTGAGCTCTGGTTGCAAACTCAATCCGCCATGTCTTCATCTGCGAACAGAGCCTACATCTACGACGCCTTCGTGTCTTACAGCAACAGCGACACCCAGTGGGTCATCAGCAGGCTGTTGCCTCAGCTGGAGTGCAGTACCATAAGCAACCTGAAGCTCTGCGTGTACGACAGGGACTTTGTCGCGGGTCGGAACATTAGCGAATGCATCTTGGACAGCATCAAGCACAGCCGGAAGATAATCCTTGTGCTCTCCAACAGCTTTCTTCAAAGTCCCTGGTGCAGGTTTGAAACGGACCTTGCCCAGTACACCTTGTTGGAGGAGAACAGGGATGCGTTCATCTTACTCAAAATTTCCCGCTTGGACGAAACACTGCTGTCCCCTAAACTCAACTATCTCCTTAAAACGAGAGTTCATTTGAGCTGGACTCAAACGCCGAAGGAAGAACTCGCCTTTTTTTCCAAGCTGCACAAAGCCCTGGTAGACACCAGGCCCAAGTCGCATTTAGAGAAATCCATCTTACCAACTGCCCACACTCCATCTGTTGTGCCTTTTTTCACGCGAAAATTGGGGATATTTCGAAAGCTTAAAAAATCGGCAGGCCTTGTCTAAAAATGTTGACAAAATAATCTGACGAGAGTGTGAATGCAATGTGTTCATGAACGTGTGGGTTGCGTTGATCGTAGCCAGATATAACAATGTTGATGTTTTGTTGTGATGTTGTTATCTTGTTTCATGTAAATAGTGTGTTACGTTTAATAAAAGAAAAGTTGTTTTATGTGCTTCTGATTGTTTTGTCAGTGTCTTATCATTCTTAGCAACTCCAAAAATTCGTCGGTTTTTTACCCAAACGTTTACCTGGTGGTGTCTGTCTGTAATTAAATATATTAAGGGGCCATGTGAGCGCTGCGTATCGCCTCAAATTTCCAAGTCAGGCATCGCTGTTTCGAGGGTTAATATTTGTGCTTTCTTTATTGGAGTCCTTGCACAATACAGCACCGCAGCAGAACGCCACCGCGAGCTCCGACTTTTATTTTTTACTTTGAATAGAAACGACAAATTTCTTACTTTGAAAAGCAAGTTGAATGCGGTGGCTACCATCTCCACAGCCCTCCGATCTGGTACGTTCTTACGACGCTATTGATCGGTTACAATTTCGTTACAAATAATGATGACAAGGTATTGTTATAAACTTTGTGGGAACCATTGGGTTCCCTCTATCCCTATCCAGGCCTAGCTTCAAGCAGGCCGTGGGAGTCGTCGTCACCAATGGCGTCGGCCTCCCGGATACAAGGAACCACGAGGCCGAATTCCCCGAAGGGGCCGGCTCTCCCTTGCCCTTTTGGGTGAACGCGCCTTCGGCACACCCTTGAGAGTTATAATGGACGCGACTGCTAGTGGCCTCCCCGGGCGCGTCCATTCTCCGAGGCTACATAAGCTGGCCCCGAAGGTGGGCCAGGGGGCTCTCGTCGGCGGAGGCCCTGGCTCTACGGAGCTCGGTTTTTCTTTGTGGGCCTCCGACTTCCCGTGAATCTGTCTAATGCGGCAGCGCGGGAAACCGACCGGGTGATACTGGCAATTGAGCCAGCGCCCAGACTTTCATTGTCTAAGAGCGAAGCGTGCTGACATTGCAGTCAATAAACACGTCATTACCCGAACCCAAGGAACCTTCTTTGTGTTGCTAAGTGGTACCCCTCACCAAAAGGGCGAATGCCACATCTGGCGCCCCAACGTGCGGCTTTCCGTGGACTGCAAAGACAGCAGCATCCATCTCCTTTTGCTAAGATAGCGAACCAGGTCAATTTCCGGCCAAGGATCAAACAGGTGGACAAAGGGAGAGGCGAACGCCCGACACCCAACGCCACTCAACGGCTTAGTGGCCACGTCAGCCACGCACGGACACAATGCAGTGTCTTTTCAGCCGAGCTCGCTTCCAAACGGAGGTGACTAAACGCCCGGAATACGTCCGAGGCATTCCCTTTCGGGACGACGCCAGCCTACTTCGCTGGGGAGGCGCATCTGCGCTTTTCGAGGTCAAGCCCGTTCTCGAACAAAGCACGGTGACGCAACACGAAGCAAGTGCAGCTTTTTGCCTTCGAGACGGCTCGCGGGGCCCACCCAGAGTGGACACCCCGTCAGCGCACAAACTAAAAGCGTATCTCGGAGCGAGAAAATGCGCTGTGCCTGCAACACCGGTCCCAGTCTAGCGAGGTTGCGGAGACCGCCGATGGTGCCCTTCGTCGCCGCGTCGACGGACCAGTAGCCATCAGGTTGACCAAGCGACCCCGGAACAAAGGCCCCCCGGGAAAACTGAGTGAGTCAAAATGATTTCCTTTTTACTCCGCCTTTCCTTCCCGCTATCAAGGGACAGAGGACTGGCGTGAGCATGGTTTTCGGCTACTAGAATTGAGTATGTTCCGTTTACCCGCGATCGACTCCGGCCAAAAGTCAGTGAGCGTCGCACGCAACAATAACGTTAGGAACCCTTGAGGGCCACCTATCGAGTTGCGACCCCGTAAAAGCGACGTAAACGTGAAAACGCCGCGGGGTCCGGGAGCGGTTCAATCGTGCTACCGGACAGTGCAACAGGTTGAACAGCGTCCCGGGATGATTGCGTGTCCGACTAAGGTGACCGCCACGCGGTCCCTGGACGAGATCGTGAACCACGGCACTCGAGGTGTTCGTTGGGAATCGACGGTAGCACCGATGAGTTTTTGATGCTCAGCAGAACGATCCGGGGTGTAAATATGTGAATAGTTGTAAATTTTCGCGGACTCTGCGGAGTCGGGCGGTGCGTCCGCCGGGCGGTACGCTCGCCACTAACGTCGCTAAGCAACTCGTATTGTTGCAGACGGGCTTTGGCAGCCGGGCAGCGTACTCGCCGGGTCGAGCAACTCGTGTTGTTGCCGATCGGTGCCGTAAATAGTCTGGTATTGCTATTGGCACGGGGGTTTGTTTTATTTGGGATCGGTTTCTGTTCTTGCTGATGCGGATAAACTCGTGCTACGGCGCTTGGTCTCTACGAGCATTGCAGTCCAAAGTGGCTGTCCTGCGCGGCTGGGAGGTGCATTCGGTGCTCTCCTTTGTTCGCGTTGGCCAGGGCAGCACGCGGCTCCAAGACTTTTCGAAGTTAGGTCGCTGTGCTATACCTGGCCACGGGCACTTATGTTTTAGTTTCAAGTAAAAGCTAACACGTTTGAAAAATAACAATGTTGGCGAGCCTGCCCGATTGCAGCCCTGCATCGTTTCATATTACAAGAAAGGACAGGGTGGCGCATTTGACATTTCATTGCGCCCGCAAGTCGAAGCGATTAGGCATCGTTAGCAAAAGCAGCTACAAAGAACTTTGCCTAGTCGATCAGTCACCAACAAATCTATTGTCCGGGGTGACGCGAGTCAGCTTGGTATGTGGACATCCGTGTTCACATTAAGCGGAGTCGTGGAACTATTTTCACAATAACTTCGCGAGCCGAGCCAGTGCGACGCACGTGACTCACGGCAGAAAAGACATCTTTGTCTCTGCCTCTTTTTATCTCTGGGGCCTTGTGCACCCAGAGATTGGTCGAGTGTCCTCAGTTGGACGGCTCCACCTTGCTCGGAATTTCCGAAGCTTCCTTCTTGGGGAACGAAACGGGAGAGGGGGGCAGAGCGCAGGCGGCATTCCAGTTCCCGGCGGTTCCCGGGTCATGGTTCCACACCGAAGCGGCATTGACGCCAGGGAGCGTCATCGTCGCCGTCCCCGGCCTGCCTGTCCAGATCCGGCTCCTCGGCTGCTGGCCAAGATGGCGGCAGCCACCCTCCCCCTGCCTGGACTCGTCCCCAGGCCAGCAACACGTGGCATCTCGTCGCAGACCCAAGCTGTGGACCCGTGCCGACAGCAAGCAGCTCGCATCCGCGTCACGGACCCGGTGACAGTGCCCGTGCCACTTGGTGCGTCCCCCAGGAGAGACGCCCAGCCGCCGTACTTTCTGTGACCCTTCGAACATTTCGTCATGGGGTGTCCGGGCCGTCCTTCCTGCGCAAGCCAGGCCACTACACGGACATTGCAACGCTACTCCCGGTAAGCCTGCCAAGAAGCGTGGGTTGCAGAGTTCGGCTGCACCCGGGGTCCACTGTCAAGCAGCGAGCTAGAGTTTTCAGCATGTACCGCGCTGATCGTTTTTTTATTTCTTTGTTTTTCTTCGCGGCATGCTCTTTCGCTCTAGCGTTTCGTTTTTTTTTATTTTGTTTTTGAGAGCCGGTAGGCCATTTTATTTTTAGGCCTACCTTAGCCTTGAGAAGGGGGGAGTGTGGGAACCATTGGGTTCCCTCTATCCCTATCCAGGCCTAGCTTCAAGCAGGCCGTGGGAGTCGTCGTCACCAATGGCGTCGGCCTCCCGGATACAAGGAACCACGAGGCCGAATTCCCCGAAGGGGCCGGCTCTCCCTTGCCCTTTTGGGTGAACGCGCCTTCGGCACACCCTTGAGAGTTATAATGGACGCGACTGCTAGTGGCCTCCCCGGGCGCGTCCATTCTCCGAGGCTACATAAGCTGGCCCCGAAGGTGGGCCAGGGGGCTCTCGTCGGCGGAGGCCCTGGCTCTACGGAGCTCGGTTTTTCTTTGTGGGCCTCCGACTTCCCGTGAATCTGTCTAATGCGGCAGCGCGGGAAACCGACCGGGTGATACTGGCAATTGAGCCAGCGCCCAGACTTTCATTGTCTAAGAGCGAAGCGTGCTGACATTGCAGTCAATAAACACGTCATTACCCGAACCCAAGGAACCTTCTTTGTGTTGCTAAGTGGTACCCCTCACCAAAAGGGCGATTCCCACAACTTTTAGCAGTGAAATGATTGTGTCGTTTTAATCAATTTTTCTTCTTTTTTTAGAGCGGATACATTACAACGTCATATCTTTGGGAACACACGTACGAGCATCTCCGCATTCAGCTGGGAAAGAATTATGAGGTAGATCTGGAGTTACCCAAAAGCATCCCACTTCTGCGTTTTGCTCGGGGACAGCTTTCTGTGACATGTCTAAAGAAAAGAGGAGCGCGCACGATCACCTTTGAGTGGTGCTAAAGGTGTAAGAGCGCATCAGTATACCGATGAACCTTATTTACAAGGGCACCGCCATATTAAATATTGTCACCTCAAGTACGGGCGAAAACATTTTTTTTTTTTTGCCGTCGCCACGCCAATAGAGGACATTCAGGATATAAGCGCAACCGCCAACCATTACCATTTTACCTCACCTCTATTTGTTTGCTATTTAGAGGTTGAAATGTCTTAATATTTTTTGTCGCCCCCTCCGGATAGGTCTACCAGGTGGCCGGGAACGAGAGAAAAAAGAGAATGCTTATAGATAGTTTTCGGGTACCATTTCATCCTGCAAATAGTACAAAAATAAAAGGGAGCCTAAACAAGAACGGGTGACTGTTACGCTTATATCTTAAATGTCTTCTATTGGCGTGGTGACGGCAAAACCATGTTTTCGCCCGTACTGAAAGTGACGAAATTCAAGATGGCGGCACCTTTGCTGAAAAGGCCTTATTTGCCGCATATTTTTGAAATTTAAGTCAGGTAACTTTGGTCGGTCTCATCAGTTCAGTGTATACCGTCTGCGATCAAAGAAGAGGTTGAAGATACTACCAAGCAGAGAAGAAGTGTACTTTCCAGACGTCAGTGGAATACCACGCAAGAA